ATACAACCACCCCATAGTCTTCCATACAAATAAATACAAAAAAATCAAGTGTTTATTGGAAGTCTGCATGAAGGCACAGATGAGCTGGATTACAGACACAGCGTAACAATTACAAGTATATGTAAACACCTTGAGATGTACAACAAAGCAATAATACAGCTAATACAGGAATAAAATATAACCTGCTAAGAAAACTTCTTTGTATCTGAGGTTCTTTCAGCGATAAGCTCCAATTCACACCAACACAGTGTAATGCTCTTAAAGTCATAACTTGGATTCATGCTCAACAAATCTGCACTTTGACCATTGTTGTTAACCAGTGTATTTATAAATTTGATCTGAATTTGAACAGGCTTCCTTCTCTAGGATCAGGAAAACATAGGAATAACCAGCTAAACACCCAACCAACCAACCTGTAACGAGGCTTTGTGGATTCTCTAAATACACAAGAGCAATCACCAAGGTACTGAAATTAAATTAAGCTTCAGAAAAGTTCAAGGATGCTTTTCCCATTTTTACTTGCATTTGAAGAAATTGCTGTATTTCTGCAGGAAAGGAACAGTCTACAGCTGTCAAGTGATTTTTTTTTCTTCCTCCACAGGAGGCTTAGATTTCATCTGAAACACCTGCCAAAACAAAAGTCAGCAATCACAAACTAAAGTGCCTTGGGCAGCTTAGGCTTTACCACTAGAATAAAACACCTTCATTTACAGATACAGTATTAATTTATATTGTGAGAAAACCCACCTTTGCACATAGAAGACTACTTCCAATATTTCTGTGGAAAGGGTAATTGCTTTTTTTTTGTTTTGGTTTTTTTTTTTTTTTTTTTTAATCAGATACCAATGCCAGGAACTTAAAGAACTGCAATACAGCACTTTTTGAAAAGAAACCACGCAGGAAAAAAATTAATTTTAGTACAGACAATTCCCAGGCCTAACCAAAGAGTACTCTGAGCAGCAATTTACCACGGGGACACACAGTTTTCTCAAACTCAACCCTCAACCATCTGTCCTAACTCCCCACTCCTCCTCTATAAAAGCTTTATCACCTCTGGAGTCCGGTTCCAGTGAGGAAAGACTCCTATCCAGGTAACACATGCAGAACAAAACCCACAGCTACAACATTTCTCCTGACCCTGCAGCTGCACCATCCCAACCTAAAGATGAGGTAGTAATTTTCTTTGGAGCAGCTGTCTGTTAATACAGTGCCAAACTCTATAGTTTTATCTCCTCTTCAGGGCACACTACTAATTCAAAACCAGCAACAGCTGCTTAAAAAAAAAAAAAAAGATATGAGCACACACTCCTACTTGAATTACAACTGCATCGTAAAGGCCACAGTCTGAGATATTCAGTAACTTCCTCCAGTCCAAAAAGTGGCAATGACTCTTCATCTCTATTTGTACTGGGACTAGTGGTTATTACCCAAAAGGAACATGAAGGATATCCTGAGTACTTATTACAATGAGATGTGGAATTAAAAAAAAAATCTAAAAGATTAAGAACTCTAGTCCGAATCCAAAAAGGCCTGGGAGAGGAATTCTGCTCCTCAGGGAACTGAAGAAACCAGATTGTCTGTGTGCATACAGTCCATTTGGTAATAGGGGCTCTCTTTTCTCTCCCTTCAAGAGGACAGATCTTTCCCCTCAAGGAGGTTGTTGTAACATATGCATGTATTATAATTTTATAGCTTACACTCATAAGCCTTCTGGTTTCTTATGAGATGGCTTGAACTGGAGAAATACGCTCTGCATAGTCCATGCTCTGTAGACTCCCAAGGATCAAAAAGAAATAGACTGCCATGACTGAAACAAAAAGGAAACATCAAAAAGAGTTGAACAGTGTTAGAACTCATACTGCTTGTAAAACTAAGCATTAAAATTAGAAAAAGCACTACAAGACTTAAACAAGGTCCCTGGATGCATCCTCTTAATGAGCAATAATAAACACTGAGGATGAGAGACTGTGTTCCTTTGACTGAAAAACTATGCAAGGCTCTTTTATTTGTCTCCATGATTAGTTTCAATTTATTTAACAAAATATATGGAGTCTAAATTGTCTCATGTCAGCAGTGCAACTTGCACAAATCCCAGGAAGCTTTTATTGTTTGCATTCAGCTGAAGTGCACAGGGATTCCACCCAGGCAGATGGATTCCTAAACACAAACATTTTAACAGCAAAGGAATCCTGTTCTGTTCAGGTCCGGTACAGCAATTAATTGCCAACAGAAAAGCACTGGCACTTTCTTGAAAAACTCTGACAGTCCTTTCTGCCCTTGGGAATATGTTCTCAGAGGAGTATTCATAATTAAAACAATCTTATCTGGCTGTTGGCTGGAAGAGTATCTCCAGACAGTCCCATCACTTCTTCCAAATAAATTCTCTGGAATAAATAACAGATGAAATAAACTCTTAATACTCTACACAGTATCAGCTGCATTCCAGTGTCCAAGCCAGACCCCTTTAGAGAAAAAGTAAAAAGAAAACTGCTTGCTTGTTGTAGAGGAGAGCACAGCTGAAACAGCTAAAAGATTAATTTTTTTTTAAACCTTTAGCTGTAAAGGGGTACACTCACAAAATGCTCAAAGCTAAAAATTGCTTCTGTGTGTGGCCTTACACACCTAGTGATGGATGCAGTGTGCAACCAACAGGCAGTAGTAATGAAAAGGACAGCAGAAACCCACTCACGTGCTTCTGAGACAAAGAAGCCAAGCACTTCAGCCCTCATGGTAAGCTGGACCTCACTGTCAGTTGAGTTTCTCCAGCCTATAGACAATATAGACTGATCAAAGTACAGCTGCAGAATCGTAATTCATTACTATAATTCACAAGGAAAACTGAAAATCCATTTACATTTATTAGGAGATGATTGTGCACAATTCCTCATCTTATTCAAAAAGTCTACAAATAAGAGTTTAACGCTTCAGATTGCAAGAAAATGTTTGTTCAATGTTCTTAGGCTGACTTAGCGCCTTGTTACACTTTCAGGATTTGGTATACCTTTGTCAGTTCTTTACTTCCCTCTGGCAACAGTCCCACTGGAACAGGAATAAGAATAGTAAGGAGAGTTCACTGAGACACTTGTGGTTTTGTGTGGGGGGTTTTGTCTGGTAGCAGAGAGGGGCCACAGTAATGGCTCCTGTAAGCAGCTGCTAAAGGTTTCCCTGGACTCCAGCTCTGCTGGCAGCAAGGGAGGGGCTGCAGTGGCAGCTCCTGTAAGTGACTGCTCAGGGTTCACCCCCATCCCTGTCTCCAAGGTTTCAGTAGCCAGGAGGGGTGGGGGAGGAGTGGGAATGGGGGAAGGAGTACCACCGACCTAACCCCTGTGAGAAACTACAGAAGCACGGTGAAGATTTCATGGTGACGCACAGTTTGTCCCTTGGTGCAGTCCATGAGAAGATGCAGCCGTGGAGGAATCCACATAAGAATTATGGAGAAGCCCACGCCGGAGCCGGCAGTTGCTGGGGGACTGTGGCCCTGTGTTGAAAAGGACTCACGCTGGAGCAGTTTTTGAGAAGGACTCTCCTGTGAGAAGGGACCCCACTTTACAGCCAGGAAAGACTGTGAGGAGCCCTCCCCTGAGGAGGAAGGAGCAGCGGACTGACTGCACCCCCCATTCCCTGCCCCCTGAGCCGCCGGGGCGGGGGGAGGTACAGAACAAAGCCTTTGGGCTTTGGGAAGAAGGGAGGGGTGGGCGGAGAAGTGCCTTTTTAAGATGTGGTTTCTCTCTCTCAGCATCTTGGTTCTTGTTGTAAATAGTTAATAAATTCAATTGTTTTTCTTGTTCTTTACAAGTCGTGTTGGTTTCTTGCCCGTGACCCTAAGTGGTGAGTGAAACCCTCCCTGTCCCTGCCTCAGCCCACCAGGTGTTTAGCAACGGACTGTCCCTCTGGCCTTTCTAAACCACAACACCACTTCAGAAGAGCAGCTGAACTGGGGTTACACAAATTCAGTTTTGGAATATGCTTCAAACGTAATTATTCTAGTCAATTTTCCATTTTAAGATCTTAAAACAACACTGTCAAAGGCCTTCCCCCTTCTCCCCCTGCCCAATTATGCTATCACCACTGTGAGCTCACACTCTATAGAGCTATACATCTGAGAATCTCAAAGCACTTCAGAAAGGAGGGCACCGTGTTAAATAGTGGTATACTAAAGCTGGAATCCTACTTATAAAGGCATATTTTTTTTCATCTTATGTTTACAAAAGGACAAGCATCAAATTAAACCAATCCTATCTTGACCTTAGTCCCACCTCTGACTGCCTGCAATTTTCTCACATGCAATCCTGCCACTGACTCAGGAGCTCTGTTTAATTACAATGCTCACAGCTGAGTTTCCTCTATGGAAAGGTGAGCATCTGCTATGGTCAATTATTTTCAGATGGAAGCACTGGTCAAATTTTAGGTCTGCCACAATCTTGAGAATCACTTGATTGGAGAGTCACTACCACTACTAATATAATTTGACAATGCACTTGATCCCAAATTGGTTTAAGAAATGTAAGAGACTATATATGCATTTCTCTAAATTCTCTCAGAGCTGCAACTACATACCTACAGTAAAGAAATTCTAGTTTTGCCTTAAGCGGAACCTTTCTCAACATTACGTTAACCTACTGTTTTGATTTAGAGCACTAATTTTACCAAGATTTTCAGTTTGCAATTCTTACTGCATAGGTGAGCAGCAAACATGAAAATTTACGTACAAGTGTTAGTATATTGCCAGAATGCTGTACTTCCTTCTTAAAAATGTCCTTAATAAAGCATTAGGCATGTCAAACAAACTTTTGTAAACAAAAGATAAAACTCATGTTCTGCTCTGATTATAGCCAGATACATATTTTCATAAAATAAACATTCTCTTGTCATTTTCCATGGCCCACATATCCATATATATGAGGTAAAACACTTAAAATCATCAATACTATATAAACTTCAGTACTCAACAGGAACCTCAGGAAAAATATAACTAAGATGTCGATATCAAGAAGTGACACTTTGTTCCACTGCAAAGTGAAACCAATTTATTTGTGCTAAATGAATGGAAAGAATGTATTCAGAATACATTTCTTTATACATTGTACCGGCTTAGGCTGCTAAATAAGCATTCATTAGTGCCATGTTGTGCTACTTTCTTGTACTCTGTTTCTACCAAGCAATACAATATTTTGGCTGTTAGGCCAATACTCATCTTGAAACTTATTTTCTAACAGACTTTAGAACATTTAGAATACCTGTTCAAACTTTGCTTCAGGGGATTCAACAACTAATGTATTTTAACAAGAAAAAAAATTATTATCAGCTGTTCTCTACAATCACATTGCCTTTTGCAGCAAAAAATTCAAAGAGCACACTTTAACCAGCCATCAGTAACCTGTGGGCAGGACCACACTTACCAACATTAATTCTGACAGCTCACACAGTATGGGCAGCTTACAGGTTAACAAATGTCAAGTGAAATCATCAGTTCTTAAGGTCCATGAACGGTACATTCCACAGACTCCAACAAGCTAGTCACCTCACTGTAAAATTCAGACTGTACCATATGTTTGAGGTGCTTTTAAACAGGAGAAGTATGGATGTGTCCTCTGTGCTGAATTAAGCTTATTTACTACGTAATACCATAGAGAATGTGTCTTGGGCACTAATTAGGGTGTCTGACTCACTTTGCACTAGAAGCTGGTATTTCAAATGACTGAAACATAGTGCTGATTTTCCATAAGCTTGGTAAACACTGTAATATTTCAGAATTTATCATATAGCCCATCATGCCTTTAATTTTCTGCAAATTGTCATGAAAAAATATAAAAAGGTATCCCTTTAAATTTTACAAACCTAAAAGCCAGGAAAATGAAGCTTTGGAGCCAAGCAAAACGACGTAATGCCGTATTACCAAACAGAGTAGCAAATGTTCCAGCCAGAGAATGGACATACACGTAGTTCAAGTAAACACTGATGGAAAACTTTGTTAAGTTAGTGTTGTAGACCCACAACACTGGCTGCATTTTATACAAACGTTTACAACACAATTAACAGTGAAGCCTATATAACCTCAGTGCAAATAAGTCAAATCCAAATATGCCAAATAAGCCTTTGGCTTTTAGTAAACTGCTCCATGTTATGAGTCCACTTCTGACATACAGACTGCTGAGCACATGCACTAAGGCTGAGAGGAGGGATGCACTGAATGTTGAAAAGTGGCTGACTGCGATGCTGCGGATTGGACCGTAGGCTGCACAGGTGGTGGAGGTGGTGGCGGAGGTGGCTGCACTGGGGTCTGCGTGTTTGGAGAAGGAGGAGGAGTGGGACGTTTAAATTTGTCAGGGCTGTTACTTCTTCGTGGTGAAGGCCTCTGCAGAACAAATATTGAAATTATGTTTAACACACTCCTGAACAACTTCAGGTGCAATTCCTCTAATCAATGTCTTGAGCTTGACAAAGGAAAAAAAAAAAACCAAAAAAAACCCAACACACAAAAAATCCAAACAATTATGTGAGAAGAATCCATTTCAAAACATTGCAAGAATCACAATACAACTTTTACATAAAATAAACGTTACTCTGAAATAGAGTAGCAAAGGAAAGGGGAAATACGTTTGAGATCAAATAGAACATACAGTCCTTCCTTTCAGCTTGCAGGAAATGAACACAGACACACAACCTGAAGATACGTTTACCTATGACGACCAGCAACCTAAAAAGAAATGAGAGATGCTGTAGAGACAGCACTGCCTAGCTGTGCTTGCCCAACTAGTAGGTGTTGATGAACCTTTACGCTGCTAGCATATAAAGTCCAGACTACATGGTACCTGAGTGTGGGTGGAAATGTTTTGACTTGAGCAAGACCAAATAGAAGTTGTTCTTTGGAGGGGAAAGAAAAAAAAAAAAGGTTACAAGCCTTTGAGCTGCAGGAGTGAAGCAGTTGTTAGAGAGCTCACCTCAACAGAAAGGACAGATTTGCAACAACCTCCACATTTAAACACAAAGATTTTAAACCTACTTTATCTTTACAAACCAGTAGAGAGGGGAAATCTTTAACGTTAGCAATGTAAACATATAAATTACACTGCACAACACTAACTTCTGCGCTTTCCAGACCCAAATGCTCACTACTTACCCATCCAGTTAGCATTAATCAAGAACCTCATGTCATGAAAAACCACCCACCCACAGGTGACCACAGGTGATCAACTCTGGGAGAAGCATGATTACAGTGCTGTACCAAATGTACTACAGGTAAAGCCAATTTATTCTGTAACGGAGATCAAAAATTAAGACTCAAGAATCAAACTGCAGTTTAGTCAAATAATGTATATTGTATCTATTTTTCTGCACAACCATGAACAATAGATTACAAAAAGCCAAGGTATTCTTGACAATTGACTGATGTCTCTGAAACACTTAAAATAGTTTATTGCATTTGCATACATCTAATAATATGAAGGAACCTGGTTTTAGTATTGAGACAAAGCCAAGAGCTACCTATCGACATCTTTCTCAAAACAATTAGTAATTTGTCCTGAAGATGACCTTTTTCATAGCAACTCAACATGACACTAATTAATTTACAGTTTCAAAAAGAGTAGTATTTCAGAGATTGAACAAGTTCCTTGAAAAAACTTACTTATAAAATTAGGTTTCAGGTATTCCAGAAGCCTAAAGATCTTCTGGGGACTGACTCATGTGACACATAGCAGGGGGTTGAACCCGGACCAGGATTCTACCTTGCAGCTCAGCTCCAGCTTCCCTCCTGCTCTACCCACCACTGTAGCATTCCCATCAATCTTTGCTCAATTAAGTTAACAATTATCTTTGCATGCTCACCTAAACAATTTTAGAAGCAGAGATATTTTAGCATTATAGTAAAAATTCTATTGAAACATGTTTTCACATCTGAGAATGATAAGTATTCGCAAAAACCTTGCAGGATATTTACATACTACCATACCTGTTGACAAAAATCAAAATGGTCTTGATACAACAACTATAAGGTATTTTGCCAAATGGTTAGTATTTAGGCTCTGTTTGCTCATTAAAATCCACAAATATTTAGAAGAAACATGATTAAGCAGAAATGCATCAAACATCGCAGTTAAAAAGGAAATAAATTTAGTTGAAAGATACGAGAAACTGCCCTAACAAATGTTTACATTAACTTTCTTCTTTGCCAATGAGAATAGAAAATAAGAGTTACAGTGACATGATGGTAGCATTACGTGTCATCTTGAAGAAAACCTGAGCTTGGAGCAACCTCAGATGACTCATCCGTCAGATGGTGGAGACTAGGAGAAAAATTAAAGCAATGTTTTTACTTCCCAGGATAGCCTTAGCAGCTTAGAACATGACTTCTCACACCCTGCCTGCTGATCCATAAGATGATGCCTATTACTGTCCTTAAGATGATAATACATCCTACTCTGTTGCAGAAAATAAGGTTCTCCAAAAAGAATCAGTTTCTGAGGGGTGAAGAGGAAAAACAGGATTGAAGAGATCAGCAATAGATTATCTTGGAATAAGGAGACAAAATCAAACATTTACAAAAATGTTTTGTAAAACAGCTTAAGGACAAGCAATTATAACTTTTAAAAACCAAACTGACAGTGGTAATGCGTATTTACTACTTCAAATACTTACTGTAATGCCATGGGATGGTCCCATATGTTGCACATGAAGGCCTGGGGAATTGTAATAAGACATTCCAGCTCTAGTCAGTGAAGTTGGTGGTGTGAAACCAACTGTGTGACTTGCATACGACAGACCTAAAAATTGTTAAAGCAAGGTAGCATCAACATTCTTGTTTATATTACAAAGTGTGAGGTTTTCAAAAATTTTTTAGTTATGAATCAATGACAGGTTAAGAAATGGTAACTGCTGCCAGATTGGACATCTAAAAAATATTCATCGCCTGAAAAGTGTGATGTAAAATTAATTTATTTTCCTGTAGTAAATTACCATATGTTTCAAAGCATAAATTACACAATGTTAAACATAGCATTTCACTTAATATAAATGGTGTAAAGCTCCCCTGGCAGCTCAGTTTTAGTGCACAGATATTTCCATTCAGCCTTCCATTTCTCCTCAGAGGAAATGCCTCCCTGAACAAAATACAGTCTGAAGAATCAGAGAGGTTGTGCCCGGAGAAGCCATCTAGCACTGGGCCACTAGGAGTTTCCCAAACGAAACTGGACGCATGTGGCTCCTCTTAAGGCATACCAGATCCACACCCAGGCTTCCTTCTGTTTTGCCTCAGCATTTATAGGCAGGGACCCAAAGATCTTTGGGGCTGTGAAGTTAAAATATTCTGGAATTGGATGCTAGCTGGACTAGGCTAGCAACTAACATTTAAAATCACAACTTGTTTTACCCACAGTAAGGAAAGCCTCATGTTCAAAAGTGCAAATATCTAACTCTTTCATCTAAGTATTTCCCTTCTGTAAGAACTAATTTATAAAAGTGCAGAGTACCTGTATAGCTAACCAAAGTAAACAGAAACAGCAACTGCTAATTGCTTAAAGTTCAGATCTTGGAAGTGTTCCAGAGATTGAGTATTTCTCAAAACACCACATTTTCAAAACCTTTAGCTCATTATTGCTTTCTGACAAAAACATCAGTAAGGTGGGAGAAAAGAATCTTCTCAGCTATTAGATACTAGCAGCTGCTTTAGAGAATTACGACCCAAAGAATTTCTAAAGGTCTATTAAATTTTTATAACACCATACTGGATTTAACAGTTTTGACACTTCAACACTAGATCAATGCAAAACAGCATCACTGCAGCTACAGTATGCAGGACAGTGGAGTTAAACAACACAGATTAAGAAAATTAATCTGCTTTTTGACTACGCAATCTAATTAGTCGTCTGTACGGTACATGTTTTATTACTAAGTGCTTTTGTAAGCACAAGGACAGAAACAAATCAACGTTCAGGTAGGTGACAATGTGCTGCAAGTCAGAGACAAGAGCCCAGAACAATAAAAGGCAAAAAAGACACTTTAAGTCACCTTTGCAACATTATAATTTTGGACTGTTTTGCAATAAACCAACTCTAAAAGTTTTACAAATACAAGTCCATCTGGCAGTCAAAGAAATGATACAGAGTAGTGCATGCACATCCAAGGTAGCTCACCTCTGCAGCCCAAAATCTCTACCTAAGCTTGCTGCAGAAGGAAAGCTAAAACAGTTTATCTACCCTAAAGACAAATTGGTAATTAGAGTAACAAATCCCCAGCTGCCTAAGAGTAGCAATACTTCCACAATCTTCAAAGTTCCATGCACCTTGCTAAAAATTTCAGCAGTACCTCAGCTTCAAGTGTCCTCAAAAGCAGCATCTCAAGCCATGCAAGCACAAAAGGCTCTGGGCTTCAGAAGACAGAATCTGATCCATTAAACCCGACCAGCCATCCATATGAAATTATAGCATTTCTAACTGGTTTCAAATTACGTTTCTACAAATTGAGGCACATAATTTCCCAAATGAAACACAAGTCATACAATTACTTGATGCAAAATATAACTGGTATATTATTCTGTGCTGATACTTTCGACAATGTCTTACTGTACTACTTTAGATATAAAGTACTCTCAAAAACTATTTGTTTTCATCCATTGCTGCATTCATATATCCCAGACAGCTGTACAAAATTCCCTATTGATCTCACCAGTTCTCTAACAAACTGCTGCTTCTATTTTTCTGAAGTCTGAGACTTACCAACTGTGGATATTAATTTACCAGATGTGAAGGAGAGTAATCCAGCTGCCTGTGCAGAAGTGCTAGCCTGCAACATTTACTGTACCACTACCAAAACTGTCAGCTTAATTAGAAAGGATAGTTTCAGCTGTGCTATTTTTAACTCTGCCTCAGACTGTGCTTCAGAATCCCCTGTCTGCGGGATGTAATTCCCACTAGAACACAGCTCTCTTGTATCAACTACTGATAGGAAGCAAAAAGTCCACAGGGACCAAGGAATGTGCTTCAGTCCCAGTGCAGGAACAAACCGACATGAGTACTCCTGCACTGACACATCAGCATCGAAACTGAGTGCATTTCTAGGTAATCTAGGATGCAAGTCTGTAAATCACCAGGTAATTTTTCCTACACATATTTTTATTACAACCTCTGTGTGGACTGCAGGTACACTGTGCAGCTATCGCATTATTATGAAGGCTGCAAATATATAACTACAAACATCCACCATAGTTACTCCAGAACAGCTGGCAGTATGACTACATTTTTGTACACCCAGTTACAGAAAAATAATATGAAAACATGTATAATTTTCTCAGTAAAATACCCAGCAAAACACTGAAAGTCAAGTGATTTGGCTCATTTTAGAAGCCCCAAAACCTCTTGAAAAGCTCTACTGTAATGCTCATCTCTAACACCATAACATGGCTTATAGCCATGGCTAGTTTTCACACACGCCTACTGCTTTTGCAACACCTGGATGAAAGCTACTTTGCAGCCTACTGAAAAACTAAAGTCAATCTTGAAAATCAAAGCATTTAAAGACATTGTATACAGTCTAACAGACCTGTGTAATAAAACATCTCAATCCCATCTTGCAGAATGTGTCGATGTAGAGCACATTTCATTTGCCCTTACTGTAGGACTGTCTAGCAGGTTCTAAAGGTGAACTTGGGAAAGCATGGCATGCAGGATTCGCTTCATTTATGTACAAATGAGTTCGTGATCACCATGTAACATCCATGGCCAACAACTTTAATTAATGTCCATGCACAATTTTAAGGGATTTTAAACTTCAGTCAATAACTGTGTTAGTAACACAAATACATTTCCTTTGTCCTAAAAAATATATTCAGTAATTAAAAACTTAGAAAAGGTTAGTCTGACTTTGTTATACAAAGTACTAGAGACAGGGATTCTAAATTTTACAGTTGCTGCTTTATAACAGAAAATAGCAGAAGTACAAGAGCCATTTCTCTACTAATGGAAATTGATTTTTTTCCAACACGTTCAAGGTTAGACTTCTATAAGAAGCTTTGATTCGGAGCACAGTAACAGTCACATTACAAGTTTGTCACCAAACTCCAGAAATCTCTTTGAACTATGCATCCTGTTGGGCAACCTCTATGGAGGAGGGAAAAAAAGACAGTATGAGAGAAAAAAAAGAGAAAAAAAAGAAAAAAAGAAACGGCTCATCTTGAGTGTGCTCACACGGCAGGTACAGGACAACCAGGGGATCAAGCCCAGCCAGCATGGGTTCATGAAAGGAAGGTCATGCTTGACCAACCTGATCGCCTTCTACGACCAGGTGACCCATCTAGTGGATGAGGGAAAGGCCATGGACGTTGTCTACTTGGACTTTAGCAAGGCCTTCGACACCGTGTCCCACAGCATTCTCTTAGAAAAGCTAGTGGCTCGCGGCTTAGACAGGAACGCCCTTTGCTGGATAAAAAACTGTCTGGATGGCCGAGCCCAGAGAGTCGTGGTGAATATGGAGTTAAGACCAGGTGGCGGCCGGTCACCAGTGGTGTTCCCCAGGGATCAGTTTTGGGGCCTGTCCTGTTTAACATCCTTATCAATGACCTGGATGAGGTGATTGATTGCTCCCTCAGTAAGTTTGCTGATGACACCAAACTGAGTGGGTGTGTTGATCTCCTCGAGGTTAGGGAGGCTTTGCAGAGGGATCTGGA